TTTAAGGACATTCGGTAGACTGATTCCCCACTGTTGGTTCAACCCCAAAACTTGTTTGTATTCAAAATTAATTATGACAATGCATATTTATATTGAAACAAACTGTGATAGAGGGAATTATATTATATAACAAAGGGCAAGGTCACCAGAGTTCAACTATGTTTATTGATACAAATCCTAATATTATAGAAATATACTAAAACAATGATTTGGATAATTTATTAATAATAGTTTCCCATCATATGCAATGGGAGGTTATCTCCCATAATGCATTGAAATTTCATTACTTCATTAAAATACTTCTATCATTGCAATTGTGCAGGCCTCTTCAAAAATAAAATGTATTAGAGAATATAAATGGTATTTTTTTTATATTAAAGAAAAAAATATAAAATGTCCAGTGCTATACTGATGATAACAAAAAAATCAAGAAAAAAAAATTAGTCGCCTAATTTTTGCTTAAATGTGTATTCGAGTGCAATAATGTAACTGAGTGTGAGAAGATAGGTTAGATCACACTGTCTTTGGATTCATGTACTTTATAGGATTAAATTTCTCACTACCTTAAATTGGATTTTTTTAAATTAAATTATTGAAAAAAATGATACGGGTTTATACTGTGAATAATAACAAAATTTGTCTCATGTGTTGAAGAATGAAGTTAATTTGAATCGCAAAGCTGCACATATGAGAAATCATGAGATTTTAGATCTCAATTTTTCAAAAAGAATGGATGCAACTTCTATTAGGGATGCGGCTTCTAATACAGAAATAAATATCAACTCTATAGGTATTCTTGTAACGATAACCAGACCTCTCAAAATAGATTTTAGGTCATTTGAAGATATGTACCTTGCATATCTATGGGTATGTAATTTATACAGTGTGCAAAGTATCTTCATCTGCCTAGTAACTTTTATGCATCAAGAAAATATAATGGTTAACATAAACCTTACATTATTTATAACAAATATACATGATTTCTACTGTGAAGAAACTAGTATTTCAGCTAATTTTCTCACCACTTGAAAAAAATGAAAGTTTATACTCAACAAAAGAGGGCGCTTATCAAATCTGAGATGATAAGAGAATTGACAATGAATGGTAGTCTGAATAGATCTTGAAATGACTAGTTTTTAATATTAAATTAACTTTAATTGTTCGTTTTTCTCCCCCAATCTGCAGACCTTTGCTGTACGTCAGTTGGTAGTGACAGTGTTTGTGTGTTTATGGGGAATACGCTTATCAGCTTATCTATTGTACAGAATGATAAAAATAGGTGAAGCCCAAAGATGTCTTAATAAATGGAATAATTTATGTACTTTTCTCGGGTTTTGGACATTCCAGGTAAGTAGTTTAATTTCCATTTTTTAACTAATAGGACGCCCTCACTGAATGGAATAATTTATGTACTTTTCTCAGATTTTGAACATTCCAGGTAAGTAGTTTAATTTCCATTTTTTAACTAATAGGACGCCCTCACTGAATGGAATAATTTATGTACTTTTCTCAGATTTTGAACATTCCAGGTAAGTAGTTTAATTTCCATTTTTTAACTAATAGGACGCCCTTACCAAATGGAATAATTTATGTACTTTTCGCGGGTTTTGGACATTCCAGGTAAGTAGTTTAATTTCCATTTTTAGCTCCGCTGTCGACTTTGTCGAGCGGAGCTTATCATATGAGTGATTGTCCGTCGTTGTCCGTCGTCGTCGTCGTCGTCGTCGTCCGTTGTCGTCGTCCGTCGTCCGTGTCAATGTTTTACTTTTTCGACTTCTTCTTGAAAACTACAAGCCTAAATGCTTTGATATTACATCTATAGGTACTACATGTGGACCTCTCTCAGATTTGTTAATTTTGTAATGATATCTTTAATTCTTTAATTTTGGTGAATATTTTTGTCATTTTTGGTAAAAACTGATATTTTTGACTTCTTGATAAAAACCGCAAGTCCAATTGCTTTGATACTACATATATAGGTACTACATGTGGACCTCTCTCAGATTTGTTCATTTCGTGATGATATCTTCAATTCTCTAATTTTGGTGAATATTTTTGTCATTTTTGGTAAAAACTGATATTTTCGACTTCTTGTTAAAAACCGCAAGTGCAATTGCTTTGATATTACATATATAGGTACTACATGTGTACCTCTCTTAGGTTTGTTCATTTCATGTTGATATCTTCAATTCTCTAATTTTGGTGAATATTTTTGTCATTTTTGGTAAAAAGTGATATTTTCGACTTCTTGTTAAAAACCGCAAGTCCAATTGCTTTGATACTACATATATAGGTACTACATGTGGACCTCTCTCAGATTTGTTTATTTTGTGATGATATCTTCAATTCTCTAATTTTGGTGAATATTTTTGTCATTTTTGGTAAAAAGTGATATTT